CCAAGCCCCTGTTTTTTGTTTGTTTTTTTAATTTTATTTTTTCAGGACTATCCACAGAAAAATGTGGCAAACTAGCAGAGTGGCAAAATCCAGTTGGATTTAATATATTACTTATATTATTCAGGTAATGGTAACATTGTTTCCTGCTAGTTTTATTTCTGTCCTGTCTTCTCTGGCTTAATCATTAGAAATAAAGGTGCACCGATACATTGGTCCCATATCGGCTCGGCACTGATATGAGGAACATTGAGAGTATCAGCAATTGGCTTTTTTTGTCTGATGTGGCCCATAAATGCCCCATGCATGTGCACAGCTGCAGCATGCATGGGGCCAGGAGTGCAGCCTGGCCATGTGGAGAGCATCTGGTTCCAGCTGGAAAGTCTGTTTTGGGGGAAAGGGTGAGAAAAGGGACATGGGGGGTGCAGATCAAGGCCCCGTGGGGTGAGGGAGGGAGCCACAGTGGGGCTGGGGCAGGCGCTGTCCAGCATATAATGGACACACATAATGCAACGTACAAATGAGACTGTAAAAAGCTTTTAGTAAAAGGGTGTGGCGGGGGAGAAGGGGGGGTGAGAGAACTCAAAAAAAATTTAAGAAGAAAAATATTTAAATATCTAAAATATAGACAGGTCTAATATATTATGATCTGTTTTGAAATTTGAAAAAATGAAGATTTTTCTACAACTTAAACGGAAAAAATCAACATGCTTTAACTGCCACTTTATGCGCACACACAAAACTTTAGAAAAGGGAATTTTGTTCTTTTTAAGGATACAAACCAATAATGCACAAGTCTCATACCAAAATGTTTTACAGGAAGCCAACCTTGGTCAGTAACTCTATTCAACCTCTGAATGCCAGATTTTTTTTTATTACATTGCCGTTTTCTTGGTGTTTGCTGCCTCCTCTCATAACGTGCATAACATGCTGTTTAGTATAGCCGTGTCTCACTACAACATCAGTATTTCTAAGGATAATGTACTTTGAACACAGGCTCACAAAAGAACTGAACTTTGTTCAACAAAACAGCTAGGGGAAATGATTAAAATATTTTTGAGACATCTCTCAATTCTGTTGTAGGTTTCACCATGACATCCTGCTTAAGCTGTTTCCCCTCCAGTGTACAGGACTAAGGTAAAATTCAATAAAGATTTAATTTAACACAGAACAAAACATAGGCGCCTATGTCAAAGGATGACATTCTGTTTGATTTACCAAATACAGTCTTGTCTGAATATGGGCTGAAATCCTGACTTCCTGATGAGTACCTTCCATCCAGACATGAGAGGTTTGATGATCATTATAACATCATTGCAATGTTTTTTTAGCCCTTGGGTTGTTGATACATACTGCCAACCTTAACTCCACCTTACTGTGTGTTGTTTTTCATTTGGGGTGGGGGAGAGAAGGGGGAGGGATTGAAAACATATTTCCAGATTTGTAATATGTATGTGACGAATAACTACGAAATCTGACACTTAGGGATCATAAAACAAGGGTTAAGCGAAGGGCAATGATAAACCACCCAGATATAAGAGTAAACATTTCTCAGCCTTAGCTTTTTAAAGAGATAATTGCTTATAAATTAAAAAGAGTAGATTTTCAGAAAGTGGTCAGCATCCAGCAAGTTCAACCAAAAAAATAAAGAAAAAAAAGGGAATGCCCTTTAAATTTCCATGTACTTACTGCGTTGTAGTTGACATTAAAGAAGGGCAAACTAGGATCCAGGGGTAGCACCTGACAGGAACTTCAGCCTCATCCCCTCTTACCAACATCAGGGATAGAGGGTAAGCTCTTCATTCTGCCATTTCATCCTGCACCTAAGCCAACAGCACCCCCATGCATGATTTTCCCTCCCCATTTTCAATCATCCATGCTGATTTCCAGCTAATAAATTTAGTCTTCTACTTAGCAACCAGCTAGTTATATTGCCATGTTTCACACTGTGCCACTCCAGCAGGTTTAGATGCCTTTCCCATTCTTTTTAACAAGTGATTTTGGTGGAAGCATAATTTTAATTTAGCATATAAGGGGGCAACAACTAGTATCAGCTTCATATCTGCAAATAAAATTCAGTTGTCCCTGTTACTTTGGCTCAACTGGAACAATGCAGAATGACTTTGGATTCCCATATCTAGAAAGGTCCTTGTGCAATAACCACTATCTGTTATTTGAGTATAATTCATTACCCTGACAAATTCTCCATGCGACTATTATAAACATTCAGAGTTATCAAAGCACAAAAAAAGTGGATTCACTCTCTTGACCTTTGGTCTACAAGTTGACAGATTTCCTTATCTTAACAACAACAGAGCAAGGGACAAGGCTAGAGATGCACAGAAAAGGAACATTCTCACGACAAGGAGCAGGTGTGTGCAGCCTTACCTGATCTGTCCTCGCACCAGAGGTCTGTTCTTTGTCCTGTTCATATTTGAATCAAATGGAACCTCAAAGAACTGAATGAAAGAAAAAGAGGAATTAAAAGGGTGCCAGAGACCATGCCCATCACAGAATTAACTGTCTCTGTTTGCAGGTGCTTTAAGTTTTCATTTTTGAAGGTACAGAGCCACAATTAAAATGGAAACTTATATTTGCTTTGATAGTCTACATTAATACTTTTGGCATTCCCTTAAAAACAAAACTACCTGGAGGACAAAAATATTTTGAATGCATTACATGTTTGAAGAAAAGCTTCACTTCAAATTCGACTCTCAATAAGTATAGCATGCACACACATACACATGTACATGGAAAAGCAATAATTCCTAGTTGTGTATTGTGTAAACAGCCCTTGCAAAAAGTATGCTTCCTTTTTTTAAAAGAAAGATTAATGCTATAACTATTTTCAAGATCATTCAACTTCTGAGAACTCATAACCCACCCAAAACTCAATCAATTCTTCTAAATCCTGCTGCAACTACATTTAGCATATAGTGCTAACAACAGTAAAAGAAGAAGCCACATGGAATTATTTAATGTGACAACTCAATTTTAACCACTGCCTATGTGAAAATTAACACTGCCATCAAACTATGACCTTCCCTTTTTTTTTTTTAATCTGACAAATACCAATCCTTTATTGCTAAAGCCAAGCCCAGTTTTCCATATCAAAGACTTTATAAAGCTATTTAGATTTTAGCATGCAAAAAAAATTACAAACCAATCAGCATCACAAAATCATGAAAAAGTAGGGCTGGAAGGGACCTCTCTAGAAGTCATCTAATCCAACCCTCAGCCCAAGTTAGGATCATCCCCATCCAAACCATCCCATACAAATCCTTGCCTAACCTATTGTTAAAACTACACAAATCAACCCTATTGCACACACAAGGCACAGTATCCTAACCTAGCACTGGTAAAGCAGGGGACAATGGAGGTCAGTGCTTTGCTGCTCCATGGGTTGTTAAAATATGCTTGAGAGATCCAAGGAAGAGGGTC